TTTTTGAAACTTCGTCATTTTACGTACTTAAATTACTTCCAGTAAAAAGGAAATCACTGTCCACCAAAAAAAACATTTGTTCTTACTTTTCTCAATAAGAATTTAAAGATTCCCATAATGAAAATAAGCGAACGACATTGTTTTCATTTAGATCCTCATCAGGCCTTACTATAACATATATGAATATTTATATGGAAATATCAAACCAATCAACGGAATTTATTAATGATTGTTAATAATGAAATAGATCGCATACAGATACGTAACCAGCAAAAGATAAATGTTGATAGTAAGAATATAGGGGGTCCGGCAGCAATAAGAATAACGAAATAAAAAAGTCCTAGTCAGTAGTTCAATATAGGGAGTAGGCCATATTTGAATAAATTGACTTGGAAATGTTTTTTATACGAATATTTGTCAATATTTCAACTAAGAATTTGATAAAAATTGGTGAACGAGTTTATAGAAGACATTATTTATGAAAATTACATTTAAAATAATCTCAATAATTGAAAGTTAGATAATTCCCAAGTTTCATTCAAGAAACTTGTCTAAAATTCAAAATATTAGTATCATAGGGGTTTTTGTGGAGATTGCAGTAATTTCAATTGTTAATATCATGAGTCGGTTGTAGCTAGACCACCATGGAAAACTTGGAAGCACTGGACGGCCGTTTTGTCCTAGTTCGGGACTCCTCAGCAGTGCTCATCCATGATGCCGGTCGGCTTAGTGGTTTAATGGTTAAGCTCCAGCGCACGTAACTGATAGGTCCTGGGTTCGAATCTCACGAGGCGGGATCGTGGATGAGCACTGCTGAGGAGTCTCACAGTAGGACGAAACGGCCATCCAGTGCTTCCAGGTTTTGCATGGTTGTCTAGCTTCAACTGACTCATGATCTCAACTATTGAAATTACTTCAAAATATTAGTCAAAAACAATATTATCTAAGAATTTCTAACGTCTAATAATCAAATCAAATCTATGCTAAGTTCTTATTAAATCATATTCAGATGATGATTTCAGTAAGTAGGGTGATATGAATCAGTAAGATGTGAATTATGTGAAACGTTCACAATGTGAAAACAAATGATTGTACTTGTAAATTCGACTTAATGTTGATACTTGTTGAGTGAGTGTTATTTGTTTGTTCGAAGTAAAAGTAGAAATAAAAGTACAAGTAGAAAATGTTTTAACGACGCCGGTGTGTATGTAAAATAAGAAACATCAAATGCATAGTTGTAGTGTCGAAATTTTCAAATTGGTTTTTGTTGGAACAACGCTACATGTGAAATAAACAGAGTGGATGTAGATAAGGTTCAATTACTTGTTAGTGGTCATTTTCGAGGGGGTGGCTAGTTGAATATCATCTCTTCTCTTCAGGCTGTTTTGATTAGCCCATACATACAGAGATTTCTTATCACTATGAACTTCGTAGTACAAGCATGAGCTGACATACAAACTGAGTATGTTTCAGAACTTGTTGATTACCGGTACATTAATTTTTAACTTAATGAAGAATAAAGACGAAAGCAGGTGAAAAGTGAGAAAAAAGAGGATGTGAAAAAATTAATAAAGTCGTTTATCGAATTACATCAGGTCAAGAAACGGACAGATTTGTTATGGATTTCATCTGAACACACAAACTATGGTTATAAGTTCGGATCCTAATAGCTTCTGTCATATGTAGGAGACGGGACTGAACTCCATAGAAGAGTGACGAAGGTATGCAATAAATCACTCGAAATCTTTTGGTTTTATCCATCATATGATCACCGTCAACTAGGTGTGCCAAGACAGAGATATGTATTGTCTTTGTCTGTCCCTATCCAAACAAAGCAGAGTGATATTCCTTCATTTGTTGGTTAAATTGCGTGTTAGAACATTAAAGGTATCCATCTCCCCAGCTCAATTTGTAGATGCACATCAAAAAGGCAAGCTCAGGTAACTTATCCTGTGTTTGAGTAGATATCATTGGCCTACTAGAAAATCTCAATACAAAATTAACGGAGTAGGATGCCCAATGAACTCCCCTCGTTAATCTATCACAGAATGCATCGCTAAATACATCTTCGTTGAAATCGGTCATTGACCATAGATTGCGTTGACTGGTCCTACATTTTATAGACTCATTTCAATATTTATGTATATTAGAGTAAAGTCTAATGATGACCTCATTGAAAACAATTTTGTTCGCTTAACTCCGCCTCTAGCTCTTCTAGAGTTACTGCCGGTCCCAAGCCCGGGTAAAGGAAGAGGGTTGGGCATGAGGTTAGCGACTCCAACTCGTAGAAAATTAACTCGCTAAAAAAACGCTAACCAGTAAAAATAATTCAAACCATTTAAACTCTGCCCTGAAAGTTAGAAGGTCTTCATTTAGAAGAACTATGACGCCTCATGCGGAAAGCCGAGTTCTTTCGAAAGCCACAAGGTCGATGCCCTTTCTAACAACCAGAGCAACAAGTTTTACAGGTACATGGAACGTCCGGACAATGTGGGAGACCGGGAAGATTAGGCAAATAGCAACGGAAATGAGGAGATACAAATTGACAGTACTGGGAATCAGCGAAACCCATTGGACCCAAGCTGGACAACAAAGTCTAGATACGGAAGAGATGCTGCTATACTCCAGTCACGGAGAGGAAAATGCTCCACACATTCAAGGAGTTAGTCTAATTATGTCCAAAGAAGCACGAAATGTACTTGTATGATGGAAATCTCACGGATCCAGAATCATCAAAGCATCATTCAAAACAAAGAAGGAGTGAATTACAATGAATATCATTCAGTGTTATGCACCCACCAATGATAGTAATGACGACGATAAAGGTCAGTTCTACGATAGACTGCAATCAATCATAGAGAAGTACTCAAGAAAGTACCTCACCATTCTGATGGGAGATCTAAACGCCAAAGTTGGAATATACAACACCGGATATGAATATATCTTGTGTCGACATGGACTGGGAGAGAGAAACGAAAATGGGGAAATATTCGCAAATCTGTGTGCATTCAACAAATTGGTCATAGGAGGCACAATATTTCCATACAAACGTATGCACAAAGCTACATGGATTTCAACGGGCCACACTACAGAGAACCAGATAGATCATATTTGTATGAATAAAAAATTCCGAAGGACAATGGAAGATGTGAGAGCTAGAAGAGGAGCTGACATAGCTTCAGATCACCACCTAGTTGTGGCCAATTTAAAACTGAAGCTAAAAAAAGCTGGACAACTGGACAAACAAAGGATTAATACAGCCTTCCTTCGAGATATTAACAAACTCAGTGAATTCAAGATAGCTCTCAGCAACAGGTTCCAAGCCTTACAAGATCGACTGAAGGAAGAAGGAACTACTGTGGAGGACAAACGGAAAGGTATCAAAGAAGCATCTACTTCAATGTGTCAGAAGTTTCTGGGAATCTTGAAGGGAAACGGAAAAGAGGAAGGCCAAAGAACACATTACGTCGGGAAATAGAAGCAGATATGGAAGAAATGAATAACAACTGGAAAGAGCTAGAAAAAATTGCCCAGGACAGGGTTGGATGGAGAATGCTGGTGAGCGGTCTATGCTCCTTCACGAGGAGTAACAGGCGTAAGTAAGTAAATAAATAGGTATGCAGTGTTCTTATTTTTTATTGAAAACCTTCAATTTATAAACAGTTTTTATCAATTTAAATTTATCACTTTTTGTTTCTAAGTGATTATTTTTATTCAAAATTTTAAATAACTATTTTCATTCGCACGTTTGAATTCTGCTTTCCTAAAAGAGTCATTCAATGTATTATGTCTCCTGAACACTGTAAACATGATAATCTGACTTTGTTTTAGTGTCATTAAATGTATTCGGAGTAAAACAAAAATCAAGTAATCTTTATTGATGCAAAATGGAGAGTTGGTTTTATGTCAGACTCAAAAAATCCTTTCATAGAGGTGTTGAAACGAATTTTGATTTTGCTCATAATCATATAAATGCAAAAGAAATTCCCGAAAACTAAATGCCTAATTTCAATCTGTAATAGCTGTCTATATAAACAAACCTGTTTTTTAACAATTATGCTGAATAAAATTTCAATTGTTTTAGTTTTACGGAACTTAATTGGTGCCAAAGTTAAAAACTAATTAAGCATCACTGTCAAGTGATTCGTTTTATTAAGAGACTTGAAGAATTTCGGAAAGTTTGCATATCAACTGGACTAATGTTCGAGGGCTTAACAGTGGCACCAAGACACCTCCTTTCATGACGTAACTTCTGTTTATCTCCTGGGTGACTTCATATCGCCAATTATTTATTCATGGATTATTTTCCCCCTTATTATATCCTGGTTAACCATCCATTAACTATTCAGTTCCTGTTTCTGTAGTGTTTTGATAAGAAGAGTTTTAGAGTATCTTGGTAAAATTTAAGAACAATACATGAAATACTTCATTTGCAAATTTCCATCATTTGTCTTTCACATTCAATGCGATTCTTTTGATTCACAATTACTTCCTATTTTTGTTTCTGTTTTCTTCAAGTCAACCTTCATAGCATTCTGCTGCCAGGTTTTCCATTTCCGATTGATATTTTATACTACTTATGAAGACAGACATAAGTAGCATACACCACAGTAGTATTATTTCTCATAGTAAAATATACTAATAATTATCCTATGAATGTTAAGCTGTTGGAGATCAATGTCCGGTGGATAGCCCAAGTGATATAGCCTGGATTTGCTCGAGCGATAAAAGCAGATAAAAAACTTTGATTTTAGGCTATTTTGTCAAAATTGTAACCAATCACAAATTAGGAAAATAACCAACTCTCTGGCAAGCCAATAAAATTAGACCTCGTGAATAATTATAAAAAATACCCTAAGGGATTCAATGACTGGATATACAGACAGATTCGAATAAATGTGGTAATTCGAATCTTTTATATTCGTTACAATTAATAACGGTATTTTGATCAGTATATAAAATTTGTCTGCATATTTTTCTTGTGTTTCCTATCATCTTAAATGATTTACAATTTCAATATAAAAATGTTATATCTCTTTCTCATTCTACTTTTATTGATTTTCACATCACCAGGTAAGTTTACTTCAGATTTTTTGGTAATTACGCATTCCTAAATTCGACTGTGGTTTATATTGATGAAAATTTCAATTAAAATAAAATTTGAGCCCATTATTGTTAAGCATACTAAATTCACTTTGTAAAAGTGAAATTCAAGGCACCCGTTTCGTCCTACTTATAATTCGTCAGCTGGATGTATCTGCATCCATGTTAGTATTCATTCTCGGACTCAAACTCAGTACTTTTCACTTTCAACATCTAGTGCACTATCCACCAAGCTACTGAATTCAGATATCCACTAAATTGTGAAATAGCAATGAATTTGATTATTTATATGTGTTTGAATCCTCTAGTTGTTTTTCAATGATAAGGATTGACTTGAATTGAAATCCGGTACTTAACATTAACAACGGGAAAATCTAAACAATCACAAATGAAAAAGGAAATAATATTATTAAATTTTCATAGATAAAATAATAAAGAATATCAGAATGGGTTTTGTGGAGATTTTAGAAATTTCACAGATTGAAATCATGAGTCAGTTGAAGCTAGACCACCATTGAAAACCTGGAAGCACTGGACGGCCGTTTCATCCTAGTATGGGACTCCTCAGCAGTGCGCATCCACAATCCCGCACCACCCGGGGCTCGAACCCAGGACCTACTGGCTTCGCGCGCGAGCACTTAACCACTAGACCACTGAGCCGGCATCCATCGGTGTTAATGTCTAACCTCAACCAATCCACGAAGTTGCGCCACCGTACACCATTGTCTTCAGTGAGTTCCTATCTCACAATAGACCTGGTTGAACTCCACTGGTAACGGCTTCTCACTAGAACTTTGGGAGTTTTTCCTGAAGTCAGTCAGTAGTGAGCAGTTGATCCACAAAACCCATTCTGATAATAATCAAGTCTATCTGCAACTGAAAACAATTTTGAAGGGACCGATAATATTTCATGATAGTACTTATAATTCCCTGTATTGTGAACTTAACTTGGAGATCTAGTACATGACTTTAATTAATGTGTGTCATATCGTACATTCTGAAGGTAGTAACATTAATTGAAAGTGATTGAGAAACGTTTTTGGTCACAAAACATTGGTTGTTTAGAGAAATTTTAATCAAGACTCATCAGATGCATCACTTTTTATGTTTTCAGTGAGTATTTTTAAAAACTACCAACCAATGAGTAGATGGATTGATATAAATGTACACTGATTAATGATTTGGTATCTAACAACACCTTGTTCATTTAGCTCTTAGTGATTGTCAAATTCTACAGATTACTTTTTATTCATCTCTTCATTGTTTTGTCTGTAAACCTGAGAAACTTTATCCACTAATACTAGAGATTAGGTAAATGTGATACTATAACCAACCGATAACAAGTTAGCGTAAATACAGGAGATCAGATGTAACCGGAAAAGCTCAGATGTAACAGTTATACTTGACAACATTTTAACAATCTTATAATTATGTATTGTCCTGCATTGTGTATTGCAACAAGCATTAGAGTAGATGCTAAATAAGAACGCTTAAATGTATGATGTATTATTAAAAGTTCTCACTTATAGTTAATTAGTGTACCCTTTAAACAACATATCTGAAAAATTTCAATTCTTTCTTAAATCAGTATTCAAGGGCAAAATTATATAGTATTCTTTGTGTATTTTTTCGAGTATATATAATGATTAAATAAAACCCTGAAATTCTAGCTTCACATATTTATCCATTAATCTTATATAATAATATCATTAGTGTTTCAATTGTATAAATGATAGATTTTCTTAATATTAAATTTTTTTAATCAAAAGTTATTTTGTAATAAAGAAACTTTTCAGACGTATTAAATCATTTTTATCAACTTGAAAAAATCAAATAATAAACTTTTATTTTTGAGCAGGATAAAACTGGGAAGAGAGTTTTTTCCAACAAAAAACAAGTGAATTACTTTGTAAATGATGAAAAGAACTATACTGACTGAATAGCTAGAAAGTATCGTAACTAAATATAAAGTAACAAAATCAATTTTATGTGCATTTATTGCAAAAGACAACACATAATTTTATTCACCAAATATGTTATATGTAATGATAAGCTTCTATCTGAATGTGACAAATGTGAATGATGTTTTTATTTTACTGAAAGGAGTGAATTTCTTGAAAGAGTTCCTTCAACTTCTTAGTTATAATTCCTGTCTTTCAGATTGGAAAGATAATAATGTGAATTAAACCGAAGTTACTGTGAGAAACCGTGACCAGTGGGATTAAAGCGTGTCGAGCGTGAGACTGTTACCCACAGAAGACATTGACAGATGGTCGTGAAATATCGTGTATTGGTTGAAGTTATAAATTAACATCGTTGAATGCCAACTCAGTGGTCTATAGATTACGGGTTCACGAGAAACTGAAGGTCCCAGGTTTATGCCTGTATGCAAGATCGTGAATGCCGATTGCTGAGAAGTCCTATGCAAGGGTGAAACGGCCTCTTAGTACTTCCAAGTTTTCAGTGGTGGTCTAACATTGATCAATTCATGATATCCATAAAAACTCAACTATTTGTTAGATGCTTCGTAGTCTTCATTAGCATTGAAATGGTTAAAGAACACTTACACAAGCTTAACTCCTTTGCGGTAAGTTAGAGAATAACTTCGAAATCTATGTTACACCCACTATTACTGATCGGATTTCATTCATCTTTATAGTAGTGAAAAGTACATCAGTGAAAGTAATAAACCTACCAAGAACTGACGTGATATTCATTTTAATATCTTTCTGAATTCAATGAACGAGGTTGAAAAAGTAATTGGCTTATTCAACCATGAAGTTCAGGTGGATATTTAAATCAATCACTTTGTCCAGAGGTTAGGCTGAAAAACTGTATATAATAATCTTTTCACACTAATTTCAACCCCAACTAACTCATTTTTGACTTGTGAACATAAAGACTGAGTAACACTAATATGTTATCAGTGATTTATCAATCAAGTTTTTCATAAACTGTTATTTATCTACCTTTTACATCACTTTAAAACTTGGTAATTTCAGTAGTGTTTAAAGATCCTTTTTCTCACAATTGTTTGAGTCTAACAAACTGAAGACCATGTTTGGATCTTTGCTATTCGCTATGTTGGCATATAAATTAAATTGGTTGTAGATTAACAAAATTTCATTCTTTACAATATTTTGTACTGAAACTTTGAATTTACAGTTAATTTAGATCTCCAATATAAATTTCATATTTAACTAACTTGGTTTCAAAATCGAGAAAAGATACTTCAAACTGTATTTTATTGTATTGATGAAGTTCAAGATTATCCTTTGTTGTAGAACGCCCAAAAATCTTTTATAGTAGACCCTTCAAGATGTTTAAGATAATGATTTTGGTTTAAAAACCAAAGAATCTTCATTTCTCTAATGAATTTACAATGGCGACAAAGCAATTGAGATTTTCTAGGTATCAGTGCCAGGGTTGAACATGATAATTTCAAATAAACTGAGCATTGGTTAGAAAGCTAATGATAATAAATATATTTTCTTGTGATATTCCAATGAGTAGAAAATTGTGTTTCTGACGTTTTGTGGCTTGTGTTCTATGAGTTTTGTACTTTGATTGTAATGCTTTCATCGATAATTAAAATAGATCCATGTCGCATGTGAGACAGTTATCCATAGCAGGTAATGGATGAAGGGTTGCAATAGATCGTGGATTGATTTAAGTTAGACATCAACACTATTAAATGCCAACTCAGTGATCTGAAAGTTAAGGGTTCGTATGCGAAACTATAGATCCTGAGTTCAGTGCCTGCGTGTAAGATCGTGAATGCCAACTACTGAAGAGTTGCACACACGAATGGAACGGTTGTCCAGCACTTTCATGTTTTCAGTGATGGTCTAGCTGATATCATTTCGTGATTTCGGTTGTGAAAACCCAGATAGGTTTGTCTGTAAAGACAACGAAAATCCCTCGAATAAGCCATTTGGCTAGCAGGACGTAACTAAGACTAAAAACTAAAGAGTAATTTTTGATCATCTTTAACCATGTGAAACAAATTTTAGTAGTATAATTAATGATAGTACTATCATTTTTTATGTACTATTAGATACTCAGTATAACTGTTGTCTGAAAGTAGGTCAACATATGGAGCTGTTATAGTAAGCGTACGTTACATTTCATTATTCCTTATCATCTGAAATATTGATTATGCAACCATCAACTAAGATTTTATTCAACTTTTACTGAGGAAATACTCAGCCTACATATTATTATGAATCAAGTTATATGAGAGTTTTCTAAATCTTTATTTCATAGCATTTGAATTGTATAACAAGATTCAACTAATTACGAGTTTCCATTATTCAAATAAAATTAAGACTTTAAATATCCGCTTTGTTTTGTTTAATAACATGTAGCATCATATGATCGTATGATTATATGAACATTTCTATAAAAAAACAGTCAGTAGATAGATTTTATAGAAAACGGAAAAATATATGTCCATGTCAACAACTTAGATTAGATCACTTATTGAAAATTGATAATTCAACATAATTTTCAAAACACTATAATATTCAGTTTGTTTATAAATGATGAATATAATATTCCATTTATTTCTATCGATTACTAACTTGTATTTTTGATGCCTAGATTTGAAATGATGTGTAGAATTGAGGAAAATATTAGATGTAGTCGGTGGCGCAACTTCGTGGATTGGTTGAAGTTAGACATTAACACTGCTTGATGACGGCTCAGTGATCTAGTGGTTAAGCGATCGCGCGCAAGAGTGATGGGTCCTGGGTTCGAATCTCACGAGGCGGGATCGTGGATGCGCACTGCTGGGGAGTCTCATATCAGGACGAAACGGCCATCTAGTGCCTCCAGGTTTTCCATGGCGGTCTAGCCTCAATAGATTCATGAATTCGACTATAAAATTTCATATCAGTGAGAGATGTCGAGGAAATTTAACCCTTCTTATAATTATATGATTGAATGCATGGGAATGTTAAGTTTGAGTTAAGATTGAGTTAGGCTTCGCATTATACTACATGGTTACCCAGTATCATATCCTTTATAATTTCCACCTGCTAACTGAATTCACACGATGACTATTGGATTATACTGCCCATGAGTGAATACTATTTTAACTGTATAACTTACAACAATTTTCTGTTATCATGTAAATCGTTCTGAATAAAACGATGCTGATATTAAATACTTTCTCCATAAACAAATCAATAAACCTTATTCATTTTTTATTCCACGAGTAACAAATCATCACTTATATAGGATTTTTAAAATTGATTGATCACAGAGCAGTGACCAATGTAGGTTATTTTTTTTAATTAAAATTTATTATTTTTATTGTCATGATATGACGTTTACTAATTACATATTACAGACTAATACATGATTTACTGCCCATTTATAATATTTATAAATTTAACTGAAAGCACTGAGTTAATTGAGGTAAATTTCATAGGAGTCCCACAATAGAACGAAACGGCCGTCCAGTGCTTCCAGGTTTTCCATGGTGGTCTAGCTTTAATTGACTCATGATCTCAACTATAGAAAGTTTTTTGTTAATTACCATAATAAATAATGATTTATAGAGTTTACAAATCTATAAATAACACCATATTATAGCTGCTCCATAATGGTCTGGCTTCAACACAGTAAATTTTCAGTACAATTAACATTTTGTCAAGTAAATAAACATATATCTTATAAAAAAACGTAGTATATACCCTGTATAGAGGATAAATGATTATTTAATTAGGATATATACATATAAAAGATAACAGGCTACTATTGTGGTGTGGGTTTCTTATATCCACACAAATAGTGTATAACGATGATCAAGCATAGGATGTATTTCAGTAGGTCGATGAGGAACGGAACGCAATAGGTATGAAAACACATGAACAATGAAATCTGAGACAATGGATTGATGTTTGCAACAGGAACAGTCATGTTTGAGATGACGGATTGGTATTTTGCAAATGAACGATTTACTAATATGGTTCCCAGATTTTATTGAAATGCTCTGTAATTTCGTGTAAAATACATTCGATTGTTCCCACTGGTGTTCTGTTCACTACACTGTTAGGACACTTCTGATTTTAGGATTATTATTTATTACGTAACCATTAAATTTATGATGATCATTCTTAAAAGGTGGTTATATTTCGATATAATTTAACCTTTTGTATTCGTTATAAATTCTTTTTGCAAATCATTCAATTAACAATTCTAATGAAAAAAATCTATTATTTTTATTTGATTTTAAAACTTATGGTATTAAGAATTACTATGTAAACTATAAGATTACTAATAAGGACTAGACAAGCATGACATTGATCACCACCCAGTGATCAATCAATTGTGATTACACCTCAGTCCTACAGGAGGTTAGTCACGGCTCGGATAGCTCAGTGGTAACGTCTCTGACTGTGAAGCTGGGTGACACGAGATCGAATCCGCCAGGGAGCACCAGTTCCCTCAAGATTACAGGTACACCTTACTGACGAGTGCCAAGTAGCACGAAACCCGGGTCCAGGGTTTCCTGTTGACTACCTCCAACCATCATCTAAAAACTATAAGAATAAACAAATTAATCTGTTTTCAATAAAATAACAAACTTTCAAGTTAATTACTATCGAAAAAAGATTCATACTTCATACTGTTTCATAGAATAATATTGATAGTTGACTATTATTTAAATTCAACATGGAACGATAAAGTTTATCATTGTCCAGTTAAGGATAGTCGATAATATATTTCTTTAAAGTGTTTAAAATTACAATACTTCAGCTTTTATTGAGGTAATATTACACAGATTTTATATAAAGTGAAAGTGATACTTTTCTATTAATAACTGATACCGGTATGATAAGACTATCCTAAAAATAAGGATTATTGAACAGTCATTTCATCATTGTACTGGACTAATCAACAATGTACACATAAGACACCAAGGTTTTGTGAAAAACACGAAAATATCCATCCATTGAGTTGAAAAACAGAATTGTGCATTAAAGGTTTTGACATTAACGACTCACAATAAAATCTTTATCTCTAATATATTCAGGTACTCGTAATAAAATTATCCTTAAATCTATGATATTTTATATTTCAAAACTTCATGACATTTCTAGATAAGTAGATTTATTTACGTTTAGAACGTATTTATGTGTACGTAACAATTACAGAACAAAAATCCAACAAAACTCCATTAGTTCGGTTTAAATTGGAGTTTAAAAATGTACAGTAATTATTGTCAATATGGGATTGTAGAAATTGTTGAATTTCATTGAAATAATTAACCAATCTAAATTAGACCAATATTGAAAATCTGTGAGTATTGAACAGCTGTTCCATCCCCGTATAGGACTCCTCAGTAGTCCACATCCATGATCTAGCACATAAGCATCGAACACAGGACCTTCGGTTTCCCGCATGAACCGTTAACTTCTAAATCACTGAGTTAGCATTCAACAGTGTTGACGTCTAACTTCAATCAATTCATAACATTGGACGACCACCTCTCACTATCGCCGTTGGGTAATTAGGTGGGTTCTATTCCTGCGTGCTGATTCGTGGGTGCGTACTAATGAAGAGTCCCATATTGGAACGAAACGATCATTCAATGCTTCCACGTCTTTAATCATGGTCTAACTTATATCACTTCATGATCACCATGAAAATAATTATTATTGTCATTTAATAATTATTTAATGATCCTCCTTCATTTTCTGTGCAACAGAAACCACAGAATGTGTGTTTTGATAACTTTCTTTTATTCCTTTTCAGTTATTGTTTTAGTAGTATTTATAAAAGAATTCATAATTAGAGATAATAAGTATGCTAGTTGAAGATTTAGTTTTCTCAAAAATCCGAAAAGCCAATTTATTCAAGATGCATATAGTGCAATCACGAAAAACATAAATAATGTTCTAATGTTTATACTATTGAATATGACATATGCTCAATTATCATTAGTCTACTAGAAATAACATGAAAGTCATTCAGTTTAATGAAATGTCTACTTTCTATTCAATTCATTATTTTCACTTTCACTAAGTATAAATATGAATTTAAAAGAAATAAATTATCTTATAATTTAGATATTGAAAAACGACTTATTATTTACTAGAGTTAATAAAATCCATCTATTTAAGGATATATACATCATTATTCCTTAAGTATAAAATGTAACTAGGATTCTTTCATGCATTTTTCATACTTAAGTTTCGAAAATATTTAAAATATTAAAATTCAAAGGCTATTGTAAATCAATTCTTGATGATTTTTGATAGTTATTGCAAAGGAAAAACAAAATCGAACCAAAATACTCAAAATAACCAATTCATTCCAAAATATAAATAAAATTTGAAGGCAGACGAAATTATGTCAACAAGTAACAACAACAGATTTTTCTGCTAATTATGAGAATTTCTGTTAGTTTAACTGTTAAGTATAAATTATATATCGATGAAAACCATCTGTATACATAAACCACAACCGTTTGGATAATTTTATTCATTTATCCCTGAATTCCATCTCAGTGTTTGTACAATTTACTAGAATCTACCCTGGTTCAACATTCATTTATCCTTTGAATGGATTAACACTGATTGTTATGAGTTTAACTACCGTAAATAAATTTGTGTTTCTATTTTTCAAAAATAGGTTTAGGTCATCGTTGTTATGTGTGTAGTAAGTGTCAAGACCCTTTCAGATATCAGGATACTGAGAAACAAACTGGTTGTACCTTCTGTTCAGTAAGTGATGAGAAATATACTTTTTATGTCAATACTTATAATAATTTTTCCTGGAATTTCCATAAGAATTTACGTAACTGATAACAACCATTCTAGCTTCGCATTCCGATTATGCCATGAACTAACTGAAAGAATTTATCAAAATATTGAAAGTTGTAACGTAATAGACATCAGCATCTCTCTAGTTTCTAACTAATTGGTACACTTTCCAAACATGATCTAATACTGAACCTTCCGTCTCACATGATCTAAATTTAACAATTTACCTGTTGCTGTTATTGTTATATAATTTCATCGATGATCAGTCGTACTTACGATGAAAAACTATTTCATATGAAAAATGCTATCATGTGATCACAAAAACGATTTTTTACCTTGATAACAGAAAAAAGTGAACATCGTCCTAATCTTTTTTATACAAACAATACTGTCCCTTTATCCCACTGCATTACTTATAATGTAAATGTTTGCAAAAATTCTTGCTCTGTTCTGTTGAGTAGATTTTACATAAATCAAGTACACATAAATTAATAAGAAAGAAATTTTCGTGGTTGGTTATTCTTTTAAAAAAAACGGATGTATTTCAATAAATATCTTAATTTATGCAATTTAATGAGTAAACGAACTATTTAATCCAACATTTAGTTAACCACACATTATCCTTTTTATATTTGATCATCTATGAGAGCGTAATCAACAGAGGTGATATTATATTTAAATTTCTAGTTGTACGCACTAAAGCATTTCTTATGCTTCTTGCAAATTTGTAAATAATTGGCGCAGTATTTTCATTGAATGACAATTACCAAAGCTCACTAAACATCTTGTACGATGAATCAAAAGTACAGGTAATAGGAGGGAAATTTAAGTGAAATGAAAGTAAATATTAAACTCTGACAGTTAAAGGTAAGTGTTTCACTCATAATATAAGTGTCCAACAGTTAAATTACTGAAAGCTAACAATTCTTATTCCAGAGAAGGCTAAAAGTTACATTGGATGATTAGAGGTGATTTATTGAAAGCCATAAAATTGGATTTCGTGTTATTTGAGATTTGTCGTCAAGGTATACCTGAAATATTCAGGAAACAGCTAATTCACTCAAGTCTCGAACCAGCTTATCCAGTGTTACAGTCAAAGATGCCACCATTTTAACCATATGGACCTCGGGTGATCTGAACTTTAACTGATAACTACTCGCTGATTAGTCATTGTGTAAATCTAAGTTCTAAAAGGGGTCATTAGCTGCTCGAAAAGCTTAAAGACAATGTTTTTGATTGTCATACCAAGTGACACCGTTTGGATTTCGTGGGAATACTCATTTCCCTTAAAATTTCTCTCTTGTTGACGAGTGTCAATTAGCGCAAAACCTATGTCAAATAGGATCTCTTGAAGACTGTTTTCATTAAGATAGTGCATAGTATGTTCAATCACTTAGAACAGTGACCATAACGGAACCCAATCTACAGAATCTTATTAACGATAACCTGGTGACAATCATGAAGTCTGGTAACTATTTAGTGGGAAATCAGTTTAAAAACAGCTCTATTATATGCAAAACGTTTTTGAACAATAAAAAAGGAAAGACCTTTTATATAATAAATCAGTCAAACACTATAATATCATGCATCACTGTATACAAAGTAAATTTGATTAGATTATCATAAGATTATATAAAAAATATTATACTTCAACTGTCAAAAGAAATAATCTTTTAACTGGTCACTTAAAAGTAGTATGAACAATCAGATTAGTGTGTTGAAAATTTTCCGTTGAACAGTTGCAAAGAACAGTGGGGTAAAAATATTAAGTCAATACTTAATCTGTGGGAATAATAAGAAAAACCACTTACAAAATAATCAATTAAAAATGCTATTAGTTTGAGAACAGCCCAGTCTCCTTTTTAAAAAAAAAACATCCATATAGTGGAAATTCGAGTCCCCAACTCCGTTCTATATTGTGAATTTAATTGGCTGGTGGTAGCTACCAAGCTCGTCCTAGATATCACTGAGTCCAATATTTTTGTCACAAACGATAAAAGTATCATACATATACCTCCCACACGTTTTTCTAAACAAGTGACTCAATGTGGCCTTAAATTTACACTGTTTAGACGATAATAAATTTGAAATAGCATAGTTTTTATTTGTTATTTACTTAACGACAGTGACTTTAAGGCTTTAATAGTGCGAAAGCGGTTTTCTATATACATTCCTATATTCTTATTAATGTTTATGTATTGTTATCGTCTCTGCACTTCCTTATATGAACGTGGATTTGACAACATTATGAAAAGTTATAATGTTGAAATATTCATATTTTACTAAAGAAATAATCTTAGACTCTATGAATGATTACTTTGATATTTTATCAATACTCAAGAAAAATGGAATAAACGTCAATTTTCTGTAAACCTTATATAGTTTTGTCACATCTGTTAACTTAGTTTTTTGTCTAACAAATATATATTCTTTGTTTAACACTTTTCTGTTTTTACTAACAGACAATAAGAACATATGTACAAGATAAACTACAAGTGACCAGTCGTAGTTGTGTTCCGGTTTGCGTTGAAGCTGATGCCAGGAGATCCGGGTCAGGAATTGTTACATCGTGTTGTCAAGACGATTTATGCAATTCTAGTAGAAAAACACAAATATCCATGACTGTAATCTTATCTTCATTACTTTTCATACTACCATTGTTATCAACTTACTTTTAATACAAAATAAACTGATATTTCTCGCCCATTGCACTTATCATGAAAAGTTTGATTATTCGTATATATTGCTTCTAAATAATTATAGAATTTATACTTTATTTATTATGACTTAATTATGCTTTGTTCACACCATCATTTATTCTGCAGTAATAAAATATTTATTATTAAAAGGCTATTTTTTGTTATGATGTGATAATGATAACTGTCACAGGTCGACAATGAATCTAATTTTGATAAGTTATGTAAACTTTGAGTAATTAGGTTTTTCGTTTTATTATTATTATTATTATTATTATTATTATTATTATTATTATTATTATTGCATCTAATCTGATTTGATTTCAAATAAGTTAGTTAATGAATGATCAATAAATGAGTATCAATAACAACAATGATCATTGGTTGAATGTCAAGTAGTCAATAAGATTAACTAAAAAAAGATAATGTAACCAAACTAGTTAGTAGCATCAGGTACAGTCGGTGTAAGTATATATTGTTTAAACTTAATAGTGGTCAGGAAAACACACATTCCTAATTTATAAATCACAAAAATCCTACTGAACTTCATTTGTAGCACAATTAGTCCTTTATTATTTGTCATAATTTGTCTTATAATTGTTCATCACACCGATTTTACAGCTTTCGGAAACGGATATGTCAAAGATATTATGAATACATAAACGAACTTTATGATATATCTTTTATAAAAGTGGACACCGTCTTTCTAATGGTCTACTTTTTCGTTGAAGTTTATTCATGCAATAAATGTACTTAAATGGTAAAACCTTTTGTGAAAAATAATTGATATCTTGTTAGTCTCAGACAGAAATCTTCATTTTAATAAGAGATCCAAAGGGAAAACTATGGTACATAAACGTGCTACTAAGAATCCGATAAGGAATTTTAAGGTCATGGCGCATATTTCAGCATAAAATGCCTACCTCAGATCGGTTTGCTGCTGATTTCCACAAGTTGAGCAACAACAACAGGTGGGATAAGTGACAAGATCGGTTATTTTTGTTGTATCCGAAGAAGATCAGATAAATGGTTACTGCAAGGAATGATTTAAAGACGGTCAAATATATATCTTACCATAAGCTTTCATTTGACCTGTTGACCATTATTATACGACTTACTATTCTTAATCTACTCACATTCTACTAGTTACGGTCTCTCATATTCACATCCACTTTTCGACTGATCTCTTATAACTGTTACCTCTTTATTTTATGGTGTGATGTGGTCTGGTCTGACTGTACCTAAACTATGCATATTTGAAATATCTAATTCATACAGTGGAGGTGGATATTGTGTTGTGAACCGGGTGAGTAGAGCGATGTGATGAGCAACTGTATCGTGTACGATTAAGGATCCAGAGTTGACTCATTGCAGCTTGTGCTAGATGATGTGTCATTGGTTTAGCACAGATACGAGGTCACAGAAATCGATATTCTGATTGAGGATTTTGTCATGTGACAATTGATCGGGTCAAAAGTCATATAAATTTGTGATTGTGGTTTCAAAATGACTGCTTGTTAGTGTCTAGACTATCGCGACAATGTTGTGTTTCTATATGATATATATTGGAGTGAGAAGTCTCCAAGAGTGGAGTCATTTTATGCCCAATCTAAAGTGGCACTAAAAAAGTGTGGTGTTTGTATGAACTAATAATTCTTTTGTATTTGATGTCTGACTGATTTTGAATTATAAATGCATTACGTTCGTTTGTTCTCACCTAGTTCTGTTTGGTTTAAATTGAGCTATTTCGGAAATTCCCCGTTAGTACAATAATTCAAATACTTCTGATCATCGCACTAACATCGTGATGGAGCCTGTTATAGGATAGTTGGACATACCGTAGTGACCTACTTTTATGACTGGTATAATAGAAACAATTATTATTATGACCAATTGTACCAGTGGTTGTTTTACATTACCTGTTTGTTAAACGGTACTAAAACCTTACCTTCTTCCGTTAACTGTGACTTCACACGCTTTTGTTTACGTTACTTAGTCCCGCTTCTACTATTAGGCACGATCTCGGTATTATTTCGATATCACGAGATTGCCGTTAAGTATATCCCATTACGACAGTCAATTGCCTTTTTGTTTTTGGCCTAATATCTGGTTCGCAATCTTCCTGTAGTGGTGATCATAGTCAATCGCGACTCGACGCCTATTACAATACAATCAACTTTTGGTGCGTTTGAGGATTATATGGAAAGGTTCGAAATCTGGACTGTAATCAAAGAATACGTTAATATTTTGGCTCATTTCCTTGTATTAGTCGGAAAAGAAGTTTAAAACCTACTAAGATCTTTGGAATTTCCAGAAAAGTGTATTTCATTTCTTTATGCAACTCTCAAAGAATTACTATTAGACCATGTAAAGTGTACAGATTTCTAGAAGTTGCGAAGCAGGTCACGAAGACGAGCACAATTCTGGTTAATGTTTGTCCTGTGGCAAATTTCATTTATGTAATTCATGTGTATTTCGTAATCATAGTTCTTTAACTGTAAAATTGGACACATACAGGCAGTTTGTAAAACTACCATTTATTTCGCTGCAATTAATGATAAAATTTGTAATTTCGATCCTATTAAATTGAATATTTCAAATGAATCATACTGTGATCAGATTCATAATATTATATTATCAAATATACGTTTTTCTCATGATTCATGTATTTCTAGAGAAATTATTTACAAATATGTGGAAGATATATCGAGTGCACCAAATCCTTATCAGAACTCTGGTGTTATTTTATTAGGTGTGGTTAGTCCTAATGATTCGTTTGTTTCTGGTGTAATATTAACTAAATAAGAGGAACAAGTTCTAAATGAGTTAAAATCTGATTATAGTCCTTATGGTGTCACATCAGATGTTATTTGTCCCCATAATGGATTTATCTCTAGTGATATTACTTTAGCTGTAAATAAATCCCCAAAATAGATAGATCTGTAAGTCTTCGACATTGGATGCTGACCACGTTAGTTTTAATGGGGTCACCTAGATGAAGGCGCTCGGTCATGCACCCACATCAGAACCCGAGTGGGAACGTTATGCTCAGTTTCCCTGAAGTCGCTAGCCAATTTAGATCGGTCGATCCTCGATATGTTGATAGCCTATCAAATATATCTTCAAACCTCCTCGCTTCTGTCTTTTGATTTCACTTGGTGGGTACGTTTTATGGTAGAACGTGTTACTGATCAAAGCGTTGTCAAACTTCAAATACTTGTGGCATCTTCATCACTAATGAATGTGACAAATATGTTCCGAATGTGTCGAATTTTAGTCACGTTTCTGATATTATTATATCAGATGTTAGATATTCTCAGAGCCAGTGTATGGAGAAGTGGTATGATGAATCAGAGTTGATAGCAAGTTTTGCCAAAGCATTAAGAGAATCTGTTTTTTCAGGTATAAAGTTTGCACAAGCAGAACATTCAAATCGAGTCCAAGATTATACTGATGAGCAAGAGACAGATCCATATTTTCCATTTGCTTTGCGGATGAATCACTTGTGTGAATTATACATACAAATGCATATTCAACTGATAACTGGAACAATGGCCTTATGTTTTTTAACGTGAAAAGCAAAAGAAATATGTACCACATTTTTTCTGTAAGTCAAATTCACATGAAGGAATACCTCAAATTATATGTCATTATGTATCCCCAAATACTCACGTATAATTATCGAAGTGCGAGATATGAGATGATAATGCGAATTGGAAACACCAAATTTTACATGAGATTGCGACTTGGGGACCCAACATTATAACGTTAGGAAGTCCATGGTTCAAATTCGAAATATCGGAGATTTAAGTGCACACCCGACATGTTTATCATCTACAATTCTAAGATCCAGAAGAGTCAGTTTCAATTTCAAGACATGTACCACAATGTACACAGAAAACTAGAGGAAATATAGATGCATGTCGGAACGTAATTTCGTACGTTGTGTCATCGTCAACGTCATTGCACATGTAGTGTGGTGTCGAGTAGCGGTTGACTATGAACACCGCTACCAAGGAACGCGTGCCAAATAAATCCATAAAATTCCCCAGAAGCGAAATATCAGAAGGCAGTTAATGGACCAAGTCGAGATATATTTGCTGGCGATCTCGTGGTATCGAAAGAATACCGAGATCGTGCCAGGATACAAGTCGGTTACAGAGCGTAACCGAGTTCGCGTGAGGTCACAATCAAAGTGTAAGAATAATGGATGCTTTTTAGCACAGTTAAACAAAGAGCACATTAAACAGTCACTGGTACAATTGGTTATAATAATAATTGTTTTCATTAAACCAAACGTGTTCTCGTGATAAAAATAAGTCACTACACACACTCGGCAGCAGGGATAAACACCAACAATATATAGAAGCAATGTAGTTTTGACTCAAATAATTTTCGCGAACTTATCACAGCTCCACAATTCCTTTCGTGGAATCATATGGATGAGTTTTAGCTGTAAATAAACCCACAAAATGAATAGTTCTATTAGTCTTCGACATCGATGCTGACCACATTAGTTTTACTGGGCATACCTAACTGAAGCTGCTCGGTCACGTATTCGCACCAGACGACGAGTGTGTACGTCGTGCTAAGAATCCCTTACAAGTGTTAGCTTAGATCGAACGTTCCCCGGTATATCTATAGCCTCTAAAATATATCTTCGGACCTCCTAGTTTCTGACTTTTGACTTGACTGGGTTGATACGCTCCGATTATAAAGGTGTTACGTGTAAACGTGTTGTCAAACTCTTAATAACTGTGGCACCTTTACGTCTTTCACAGTATACATTATTATTTCAGATAGATGGAGTGTGCTTCTAACCTGAAAAATCTGATTTACGTTGCATTAGTGATTCAATCATATCAAGAACAACCAAAACGCACTTCGTTGATATCTCGGAGAGGTGGAAAATTTTATGTGCCTGGGTAGCATCATTGATGGACAAGGATCTAATGCAGATGTAAAGGCAAGGATTGGCAAAG